AAATACAGTATATCCAAATTATAAGTTAACTAAATAAGGATAGTCTAACATAATTATCCTAACATAGTTATTTCTACTGTAATACAGTATTCAACACTGTAACACCATTATTTTGAAGAAATTTAAATTTCACTCAAAAATGTGCCGTATTTACCCTTGTAACCGTTAACTCCTTCAACTATTAACGGAATTATCACGAAAGTAATCTTCGTGACGTGTACATTATTTTTATGTTATATTCTGTATTTGCTTATATATTAGTAACGTCTACGGTCTCCTTGATTTGTAACTTTAGTGGCTAACACTTGATGTCTTAGCAATCCTTAATTTAGAATTAAATATACTAAAATAGTAATTTCCAACTGGTTTAACTAGATAGTGTCTATCGCCTCGAAGGATGTCGAGGTTGAAAGTACAATCTTTAAGTTTAGATAAAATATCTTAGTAAGATAGCCAAATATTGTTAAACTATTATTAGAAATTGAGTAATTTTAATACTGATACAGTAAATCTAATAGGATTAGACTGTGTTTAATCCGTATAAATAGAGGCTCTTTAGAGTATGAATTAGATTAATGTCTAATAGACGAGGTAACTCGTGTAGTTAAATTAGTTTTAGGTACCGAAGCCTATATAAGTGACGGCTTCGCCGACAATAAATTATATTGTGATTTTCTAGAAGTTTGGAGATCTCACTGTGTTAAATCCTATCTACCTAGGAATATCAATCATTGATATTCTAAATTACGCTAGCGTATGCTAGAAAACACTCTCCCAAACCTAGTTGCAAGTTAGGGCTATTCCTAGCTGGTAAAATAAATCTTCTATCGCTTATTTTAAAATCTCTTTTCATTACAATGAATCTTCATCTAGGCCCTAATAATTAATTATTCATAAAATTGTTAGGCATTGCATAACTTAGCTAATGGAAATTAAATAGAATTCTTTTTGTTTCATATGTTAGAAAAATCCAATTGAGTAAGCCTCGGCTGTTCTGTTTGCTAATTGTTTGTCATTTTCATATGGTAATATTTGGAATGAAAAATGAGTTCTGATTTTGAAATTAGATTAAAGAACGTGGTCATGCGATGGTGGACAATCAGATAATTGTCAACATAATATTAAGTATTGACACAAGGCTGTTAACATACGGCAGATGTAAAGCGGATTTCGGTAAAATAGGAGTAATTCAGATCTATTGGTGGTACTTTAGTTGATCCGCAATGATTCTGACAAATCAAACAAAGACTTTCGCATGATTTTTTACAAGTATTAATAAATTACCAAAGTTTCTAAGAATTAGTATCTACTTTTGCTTTTTTTAAACAAGCTAAAGTATAAGTAGGTGGGGGCCAGTTTAATGCTAGCATTCTTTTTTATCTTAAATCGCACTAAATGTCATCATTTCGGTATTCTAGATCATGTTCTAGCAATACAAATTCATCGTCAATTAAAAATTGGCATATATTTTGTCTATGGTGCCTATAGGAATACCAAATGACATTGAAAATAATCATTTTATTGGTACAGCACATAAAAATACTTTATTCCTGTAGCAACACATTAAGCGGGCTTACGGTGATGTGCTATGATCGTGTAGGATAATTATCCTAGCTTATTCGTAATCTTTATTCTTAGGTATTTGATGTACTAAATAGATACATATGATTAGTTTGCTCTACCCCATTCGTTATCTGATTGGGAGAGATATGAATGGCATCCATTATGATGCCAGACGTTTATTGATATTATTAGATCATCACGGTAGAATAACATTTGTATCGAATTTGAATTAGTCTTGGAACCATATGCATTACATATCAGGAAGCCAGATAAGATTATCAACATTAAGAAGCCAAATTTCACAAAGAAATCAAAATTTTAATCATTTTATTCTTATTTAATGAAAAAAATGGAAATTATAGGACTGTATGCCTTTGTAATATGGATTGCAACGTGTAAGGCATCAAATCAAGAAATTGTATTTGGTGAGAATGACAGATAATGTCGGTCAATATTTTTTTAAGCAGTCTAAACGCAGCTTTGATAATCATCTCGGGATCAATTATATATTTATTTGTAATATCTAAATATCATAGATTTAACAACATAGATCAGAGATTTTAATTTAAAGTTTCGTTTTGTCTGGCTTATTCTTAAACTTCTCATAACCATTAGAAGATACAATATGTATAAATGAAATGTTTTTAGTCAAACCTTATAACGAATATGAACCATATTTAAATTAAGTAATTCAGTAACTTTTAATCGATATCGAATTTTGACTGCTGATACTTTGTTAATTCAGGAGGAATAACACTAAGCTCTTCCCCACCTCATATTACGCAAGAGCAAGTAGCTTTTGAATATGCTGTGGAACATTTTAGCTCCCAGCTTCAATCTCTTTATAACATTAATATTACTACGACTATGGCTGATGTCGATATGAGCCAATTGACAAGCATTCAAAATGCAAGTAAGTTACGCTCTAAATGACGTTGCCATTAGACCTGAGAGAGGCTCGGTTAAAAAAATTTTATATGTATTATTTCACGATTGATAATTATCAATCCTTAACAGGTTGAATCTAGCTCTATAATTTTATAGACACTATGTATTTTGCTACTAATTTTATTAGAGCAAAGCATGAGTACGGAGTGCTTTTTTTTCGTTGTACATATTTCGTATAACCGGAAATTGTCTATCAGTCGATCATTTTATGTTGTCATCATATCATAGAGGAAATTGTATCATATAGATCAAATAAGTTCGAACTTAATTTATTATAATTGCATCTATAGTTTGTCAACAAGTCGAAAGAAAAGCTATTGCAATTTTTGGCCCGTTGTCAAAATACCATTTACATCCATCCTTGATTATTTATCTATGCAAATCACTCAATTTACCCTATTTTTCTACCGATAACCGAGCTGTGGATAAAGATGATAGTACATTTGTCATGGCCCCATTACAAGAAGATATTGATTTTACGACAATCGAAATTGCTAAGCGATTTAAATGGCGCAAAATAGCAGTAATATTTGATGGTATGAGAGTAAAAGGATGAATTTGCCATTGTATCGTGTCGATAATATGTTGAAATTGAATATCTTGAATATATCCATGTATATTAAATACTTTGCTTGAACTACATTTTTTAAAATATTTAGAAATGCATCGGATTGAAAACTTAGTTAATGATGTTTATACTACCTCTTGGGAAATGCGACTACATTATATTGATGGAGATGCCACCATTCAGGGTAAAAAGTTGGCATTAAAGAAAGTTTTCGATAGTGTTAAAGAAGAGAAAATTGCCCATTTCTTGATTAAATGCAGAGACAATAATACAGCTTTACTACTTGATTATGTAAGTAATTAGATTGTCAGTAAGAAAAATGTATTTATTTTAAGAAATATTAAAATATTGCACGCCGCAAAGGATATGGAAGCTCTTGGATACTTTGATCACAGCATAAAAAGACACTTGTAATAAGACAATATTATGAAATTAATTCTTATTCTGTAGGCATACCAATTAAATATGTTGAATTCATCCGGTTATCATTGGATTATATCCACGATCGTAAGATTTTCTTAATATGTTATTTCTAGAGTTTAAATTGAGTAATTAGCAATTCATTGAAAATCGAACGAGATCAAGTTGTGATCTGATATATTGAAAAATAGAACGATGCTATCCTACATGATTGATTAGCAATGCTTTCCTGTATGGATTTAGGACATTGACGCAGTATTCAGTAGTGTAAGCGTTCAACCTGGTGATGCAAAAATTATGACATTGCGCTTAAGTCCAGTGTTTGAAAGAAATTTTGAAAAAATTGAACGGGATATTTTATCAAGATATAAGTCAAGAAGCTCTACTACACTTAATAAAGACATCGATAAACTTCATGTTAGTGGTATTTCTATATTAAGCATTTATAACCAATATGCTATCAAATCTCAATTATGACAACGATAATGACGGATATCGCGGAATTTGTAATTTTTGCGTATATTAAGTTAATAAGATTAACCAAAAACCTGCTATGAAAAAATTCTTAACTTAGTCTACCTTTCTATTCAATTAATGAATATAGGTTAGTGCAAAATTAGTTTTTGATTCGGTTGAAGTGATGGCGGACATTACAGACAAGATGTATAGGCTGTATAAATCTATAAATTTATTAACCAATCCCAGTTTATTACCACACTGTTTAACCGACAAACCATTTGCATATTCTGAAGTAATTCAGCTAATTCAGCGGGTAAGTTACCATGTTATTATACTTAAAAAGAAGAGTATGTAATTTGATATTATAATTATAGATCAACATCAAATCAGTATCTTAATCTAATTCTGAATGTAGTGATGATCTTATACTGTAGCAATGATAGCTAATGAATACTTTATATATTTCCCAACAGTTACTGATATCATTGCATTTGTTCGCTGTGACCATTATAATTATTGATCTCCTAAATTAATTTATATCATTCAGGTAAAAACGCGTGGCTTAACGGGAGTAGTCGAGTTTGATTCTCATCGGAAGAGAAAAGGCTATATGCTTGAAATTATCAATTCCACCTTTGAAAACATATTGTCTACTCCTCAGATAGTAGGCTATTTCCATCAATTTTGGTCACTCGTTATAATATGGATTCTAATAGAATTTTCTATCTGCTTAGATCGCAACTTTTGACTCGAATATTAAATCTGTGCAGTGGCCTACCAATGACGGAAGAAACAAGCTTCGAATCGTCACAGTCTTGGCAAGTTCTATCTTTAGTACCGTATATTCGCTTAATTTGATGCTATAAATTAGTAAATAAATGGCAGATTTCTGTAAGATAGTAGTTTTTATAACGTTTCAGAAATAATTTATATGTTTCGTGCCTACAGAAATTGGTTACGTTTGGTTAAATTGTGAAACTAGCTAATTATGTTTGATCGATGAAATGCTTAATATTACATTTAGTCTGAACCATTTGTTTTCATGAAAGAATATGATGTCTTTACTGGTCAGCCATCTTATCAAGGATTCTGCATCGATTTAATTAATGCTATCAGTGAAATTGTTGGTTTTAAGTATGAGTTATATGTATCACCGGATGGACAATACGGTAGTCAGTTGAATAACAGTAAATGGACTGGTATGGTAGGGCAATTACAAGATCATGTAAGTTATTATATAACGGCGATTACCTGCAATATTATTATTCCGATGAAATCCAGGATGATCTTATAGATATAGATTATAATAATATTACATATTAATTATCATAACCGCAATTGCAACACAGATACCTTTCAATTGAAAGTATAGCTAGTTCTAGGTTGGTTGCTAATATGCGTTTCTAGTCACTAAGGCCTAGTTACACTACCTTAGTCAGTTAAATACTTATGAAACGTTCCACACTAGGTAAAAAGCCTTTGTTAAAAAAGTACTTTCACTGCAGTTTCATCTACTTCCTCTCTAGCTAGATAATTATGGAGCTCTTTATATACTATTAATAGGTTAGTCCATACACAAACGATATTCAAAACACATAAATTATTTAGTCTCCTTAAGACAAGTTCAATATAGATTTATATGAGATACCAATCCTATTAAGTTCATTTTATTCGCTGTTCAATTTAACAATTAACAGCTATACTTTCTTTTACTAGTATAATAGCAGCATATGAGTAATTTTGCTTTAAGAGATCTCTAAATTTGAGATGATACTGTTTCTATAGCATCTTATTATTTTGATATTGAAAAATGATATATTCAAAGGAATTGCTGACAATCAAAGGGAGTTTCTTGTAAATCGAAACTTAATAATTGCTTCCATTAAATGTTGTTTGAAATAAATCTTATCTAATTTCTCGTATCTGATCAAATTCAGTTAGGCGATGCTGCACTAGGAGATTTTACTATCAGTCGAGAAAGACAGAGAGTGATTGAGTTTACTGTGCCTTATTTTTATTCACACACGGCTATCTTACTCAGGCACCCTGGTCAGCGATCACCGGATCTTTTTCAGTTCTTGTATCCTTTTACCTTAGAAGTTTGGATATCGGTTATTATCGCTGCTGTTGGAGTTAGCTTGCTACTGGCTATTTATAATTATCTAAGTCCGTATAGCTGGGGAAATATTAATAATCAAGCTCGTGAGGCTGGGATGGATCAAACACTGGGCAATAGCATATGGTTTATATCCGCAGCATTACTTCAACAAGGCTGTGAATCTACACCTCGTGGAGTATCTAGTCGAATTTTAGGATTATCATGGTGGTTTTTTGCATTAATTATAGCTCAAACGTACACAGCTCAGCTAACTGCTCATCTCTCGGTGACACCTACGAATCCTACAATTTCTTCAATTCATCAATTAGCTAATAGTCACCAATACCGTGTCGGCGTTACTAATGGTAGTCAAACCTTAGATTTTGTAAAAAGCTCTACGTCTTCGGTGCACCAAGAACTGTGGAATAAGATAGTAAAAGGTGGCAAGTTATGCGAGAATACTAGCGAAGGTATAGAAAATGTCCATCAAGGTTCATTTGCTTTTCTATTGGATCGACCTAAAGCGAAATATACTACTTTTCGACTTCCTTGCGATTTAATGATTATTGGCAAACCTTTTAATCAAAACTCATTCGGAATCGGCTTACCGATGCACTCGGCTTACCTTCGAAATTTTAGTTTAGCCATATTAAAATTAAAAGATCGTGGATATCTTGATTATCTGAGAAAGAAGTGGTGGAGTGATCGTAGCCAATGTACATCCTCCAGCAAAATCGATTCTGATGTTAGTCAAATGACTATAAGATATTTAGGCGGAATATTCATCACTCTATTTATTGGCTTTTTTATTGGATATGTTATTCTATTTGCTGAAATGGCGTGGCATTACTATCATCTAAGAAATGAGGTAATAGTTATTTTCGATTTCGGTTCTTATACTGTAGAAATAACTCCAACAGTATTCAATTCTAGGCTAAGTTCTTGGTAGGAAAGTTGATTGCTAAATTGAAAGAAACAAACGATTTCTACAGGGACTTGACTACTGCATGATATAATAAAATTTTCATTCTACTTATAAATTTTAGAACTCTAGTTTATCCTGAAATGCAGTAAATGTCTGATTCCTTTTCTAAATCTGTAGAAACTCTTGCTTTCTAACATATGTAGATTTTCATTATACTGTATTAAAATGTTCTATCTCGGGCTTGATGTAAATTATTTGGAAGATAAAATTAAGCTATTATGGTTTAAGAGTCCTATAATATCCAATCTTAGTAATGATGATCAACATTCTCTGCAATTTCTATCGACTGTAGGTCTTATAGTTGTCAATTTATTTCTATTGCTACGTCAGAATGTTGATTTTCGTAATGATCAGCATTTTTACAGTTGCTAACGAGTACAGATCTTACAATTTTCTACTTATTTCCACCGCTATGTCAAAAGGTTGATCTTTGTCGTAATGGTCAACATTCTTTGCAGTTACTATCGAGGATAGAGCTTATAGTTTTCTATTTATTACTTATGATACGCCTTCAAATTCGCATCCAATTTAAATCACCACTGTTATAGCCATTCCTATAACTAAAATGTTCGAAATTTCCTTCTTTATAAATTATCCTTAAGCGACATATGAAATAACAATGCCGCTCATGTAATGGCAAAGGGTATCCTATTTTGATGTACTCCAGTTATTTCTGAATACTTGTTAAACTGCAAAGTCTAATTTCCATTTTAAGCACTTTTATCAGTGGATGACCGGCTGGAAAAATCTAATAGAGTTTGGAGTAAACTGTGTTCGATTATTTTAATTTACTGTCGCCCGTTAGCTATTATGGTAGCAACCAAAATTAGAATACTCGGGTGCATGATTTTAAAATGTTCAATTTGCTGTTACCGTCATCAGATTGTGAATAGAAATTTATAGTGAAAATACAATTTGCAACGATTATGGCTAATTCATATCAATCTTGCAACGACATAATGTAGAAAATTGGGTTATAAGTGATTTAAATGTACAGTATTTGTTTTTTATGAATCTCCATTGTTTATGTTACTTGAATTATTTGCATATCCAAACTTGCCTATGGTGGCTACCAACTAGTCTGAAAGTGAACTAAACTACCGAATTCTATTTATAAATTTCTCATTTTATTGGCTAACATTGAAATTTTCGATATTTACTTATTTATAGGTTCGCGTTCAAAGAAATTTATTGCATATTACTCCTAAGAATTCGCTTCGTATACGCTCCATACGACGAGTTGATGATTTAAAGGAATAAAGACACATCTAATTCGGGAACGGATGATCATGATTTACCGTTTCCATTTAATTAACTCTACTGTGAAGGAGAATAAATTAATTTAAAAGGTAAAGAAAGAAAATTGGAGGCTAAAGTGGATACGAAACGCATGATATCTTTGGAGGATCAGCTGTAGCAATCTAATTTTGGGAATAGGATATGTAAAATATAAATCTATATCCTGATATCAAATATTGTCTGCCATACCTCTGTAGTAAGGCAAACGATTAAGATATGATATTAATGCATCTCAGATAGTTACTGTAAATTATTTCTGATAGGATTTCATTCTAAATTAGTCTTACTCCAATTCTATTATGTTTGATAATGTGTGGCATCTTGCGGAGGATATATCGACTATTTTATTTTAGATATTAATATGATGAAGGGATAGCAGCAATTGAAGGACATATTACTCAGAATTGGGGTGTGGAGCAAGAGTGCTTGCATCGAACGTTCATCATGTTGTAGATGTAATTACTTTCTAACGGGAATTTTAGGAGTAACTTTGAAGTGGATACTGTCATAAGCATTTAATACATTAATTCGACTTCAATAAAACATCAAAAAATTTGATTTACCCCGATGATACTGTCCTAAAATTTAATACTTCAAATTTTGAATTGCAAAAATAATGAGAACTGCTTTGAAAACCGTCTTTCATTGGCATTGCAGAGGTTCTATTTGTTGTTTACAAAAGTTGATGGCCAGCTGTGATTATTAAACTTGATCCATTGACTAATGTGCATGCAAATTTCGCCCAAATTATCCGATTTTGCTGATATTTTATAATTGGTGGCAAGGATTACTCAACAGTAAGAGAGGGATAGGAACGATGATATACTCTACTAAAAATGGGAGACCCACTATTTCGCTGATCATTTCAACTGAACTTAGATCTGAAATTGATCCACTGGACTATCGACGATAGTTGTCCATAACAGAAGCTACTTGGTTAATTTTATATAGTATCGTACACACTTTGGGTGGTAGCATATAGTAGAATAACCCGAAAATCCACAAGGCCCAAGATGATTAGGCACTGAATAACTACTTCGCGTTCCTCTATTCTTCTACTTTCCAGGAATCCCTGATTATGCGATCAAGATCGCAATCATAACCATCAAAATTAACATCGTCAGCTACTGGAAGCCAATAGCGGAGCAATAACGAGTGTGGCAATCCCTTTTTCTCATTTTTAGTGATAATAGCGATAAATATTATTGATAGTTAAAGCAACAAGTTTTGTCAACATGATTGATTGTGCATCCACCAATCACGATTTCTTCTCGCTATACATGATCAAATTATGATCTAAGTCCAAAGGTAAAAATGGAGTTTGCTCTCGCTTAGACATAAAACTGCTTGATAGGCGACGAAATCAATTCTATAAGCTGTTTCTTGTAAGATTGGCAATACCTTCTTACCTAGGCTTGACTGTATTTCATTAATCTTCAGGTAAGTTTCCATTTATGTATCAGCTTAACGAATCCGTAAAGTATCTACTTTTTTAATATTCCATGACCCATATTAGCTCTATGATAATAGTCACTTGAATACATGATTGGCGTTATTTATATTGGGATAATATTTGGTATAATCTCGAAATTTTAGTGCAAATAATTTGGTAGGCTACTGTAGCCTATTTCTATACCTAGGCCATCTTTCAAGAACAACTTTTCTTTAGCAATCTATTTATACTTTGGCTTAATTGTACTGATAAATATTCAAAATAGCATTAAGGTATTGAAATCGCTTGTTGTAGCTTATTTATAACTCTCCTATTTGTATGCTTATATATTATAACAGTAATTTCTGAATCTTCGGTCAAGTCTGCCCATTGGTCTCACGATAATCTCGCTCGTTAAACCTTAAAGCGATTTTCCTCAGTATCGACTAGAATTAAAACGATCGGTTAGGTTGGCTAGACTGAATCATTCTTTGCAAGCATCATGAAGTTACCGTTTTTGGAATCTTCCAAGCTAGATTATAAATACATCCTTTTCAACTCTATTATTTGCTGCATAGTTGGTTTATTCCTGCAAAAATTATGTAAATCGGTTTATAAGCGATTAAGACTGGTCTATTATGGCAGCAAATTTAATGCACCACCGCATCGATTTCTTATTGGCAACACTCATCAGCTAGGCGGTGCAGATAAATATTTCAAGTTCTTGATTGATACTAGCAAGATATATGATAAATATTTCATGCTTTGGTACGGTTCAACGCAGCCAGCATTTATTTGCTATGATCCTGATGTTATTAAAAAAGTGATCTTAGCTGAACCACCCAAAATTAGCAATTTATACCGATTTCTATCGGATTGGATTGGACATGGATTATTGACTTCCAACGGTAATCATTGGGCTAGAAATCGACGTTTACTCACTCCAGCATTTCATTTCGATATCTTAAAGACTTATATCAATATCTATAACGAAACTGCAGATACTTTAATCGAGAAATGGTCCGCATCGGCTGAACGCCATGAGCCATTAGATTTATATTATGATGCCAGTCTTTGCACTCTCGATGTCGTCTTACCATGTGCGTTTTCAATGCATTTAAACTGTCAAACAAGCGGTAAAAATCATCCTTATATCAATTCTGTTCAAACGTTAGGAGAATTAATCGTTAAGCGTGGATACAATCTTTTACATCATAATCCATGGATCTACTTTAATTTCACATCAGCGGGTAAGCAATTTCAACAGCAAGTGAATGTATCGCATGAATTTACTGAAGGGATTATAAGAAAGCGCCAAGCAGAACTTGAAAATGTAGGAAATGATGAAGTAAAATCGCGAAAATCACTGGATTTTCTCGATACTTTATTAAATGCACGTTACGAAGATGGAACAAAGTTAAGTTTAATTGACATACGAAATGAAGTTGATACATTTTTATTTGCTGGACATGATACTACAGCCGGTACATTATCTGTTACATTATATTGTTTAGCAAAATATCCTGAGCACCAAAGTAAAATCAGGGACGAAGTTTCAAACATATTACAAAATAAATCGCAAATTGAATGGGATGATTTGTCGCAGTTAAAATATACTAGTTTATGCATTAAAGAAGCTCTGCGGCTTTTCCCACCTGTACCTTTTAATGCTCGAACTGCCAATAAAGATCTACAGATAGATGGCAAAATCGTTCCTGAAGGAACCATTATAATTTATTCAGGATTTATAGTTCATCGTGATCCAAACGTTTGGGATCACCCAGACGAATTTGATCCGTCTCGATTTCTACCTGAAAATATTGGTGATCGCCATCCATTTGCTTATATTCCATTTTCGGCCGGTGCAAGAAATTGTATAGGTCAAAATTTTGCAACGAATTTCTTAAAGATTGCAATAGCTAAACTAGTTCATCGATTTGATTTCATAACTGATTTTAAAAAAGAAATATCATACAGTGCTCCACTAACATTAAAATTACATAATGTAGAAATCTACTTACGTGATCGATTGTGAAAGGAGAGATAATAAATAGAATGATAGTATATCATCTGCCTGCCATATTGCAAACATAAGATGAAAATTGAGAATAAAATTGATCTTATCTGTTTGTGCAAATAATTAAGAGTGAGTATTGGTATCCAATTACCAAAACTTTTTTAATTAAATTATTATCCTTCACACTAAAATAAAGCCGAAAAGTTGGTGCGCTTTAACCAATCCCTTTATTCATCACAGAAGCTTGCAAAGCATGGATTTAAAATTAGTATATTACACCACCACGAATATATTAATGATGTCCTAGTTAAAGAATTTAAACTTAGGATACTTTTCCATAGTGAAATTAATTAATTTAATATACACATAAGTTAGCCAATCTCGTATGTCAAGTCGCGCTTTATCGGTTTGAAATTATTATATGCTCGTGTGCTTTCACTGCTTATCAAATTAACTAAAGCTGATTTCTCTGACACTTTCTGATTTCAATATCTAGATTACAGAAAGATTTTTAGATAGTGATTGGAAGTGAAGAGATTTAACCCTACACGTCTTAACATATAACATTCATTATTTTACCATGCATTAAACTAGTCGTTATTTATAAGTAAATTTTGCATTCTGTTTTTTGGCAATTTGCTGATTCCTATTAGCGATGATCCTATATCATAAACAGCTCTATCTATTCAGAATGATAAAATTCAGCTAGGAGCACATGTTCATGCTTAAGTCATTTATAATGGCATAATTAATCGCTAATCTAGCATAATATTGAATTGGAAAAGACACAATTTGATATATTTATATTATCAATAAATTTCATGATTTGTAAATTTTGATTGCTTAAAGATGATTTATATATATAGTAGGAACAAAGCTCGAATAATTCATGAATAGGCAGATTACTGCTTTAATAGCATACTGCTTAAGTTAATATGATGCTTAAAGTGACCGTATAGTCAATTAGCCTGATAGAAAGCCATATTTCAAAGGCAATAGCTCATTTTTTAAGCGAAATTCAAATGTATGGGATCGACCGAAAGAATTTGATCCATATCTCAATTTCTACCTCAAAATATTCAAAAGTGTCGTCTGTTACTTTTATACCTTTTTCGGCAGGTGCAAGAAACTATATTGGTCAAATTTTCACTCTGAATTTTTTTAAGATTGCAATAGCCAAATTAATTCAGTGATTTGAATTAAAAACTGATCCTGAGCAAAGTATAACTTATACAATTCCTTTAATATTAAAATTACATTTCTTTAATATATATTTATGTAATCGATTATAATTATCAAGCAATTATAGCATGAAATTGACCCCTTAATAATCTACTTGTCATGACTGCACAAGCATATTAAGATAAAAGTATTTTTAATGATATAATCTAGCTTCACGTTCAATAATCTACTATCGTCTCTTGCATAGGTACAAGGCAAATAGTTTCAAGTTTATACTCTTAATAGCTGTGAAAGCAGAAAGGTATCTATATATGTTAAATTTAAAAGCTAGGCTTGACTTTATATTGGAAATGTGCGATCTTTACTAGTAATAAATAATACTATACTGCAATATAAATACTTCAGATATTTATTTCTGTACGTTTATACGTGATTGCAGTACTTTCACAGTCACATTTGTTAGCGTAAAATGAATTTACTTAATGTTTTAGAGGTATATTGATCAGCATTATTTAAATATTGGGATAAATGTAGCCTATGTCGTTAGAGATTATTTCTAATTAAGTGGCTAATTTCAGATCGTTATGATATACCATATCAGAGCTCAGAATAATTTTAAAATTCAGCTATTAATAGCAAATCAACTATAAATTTAACTACTCTAGCAGCAATTCTTCCTGGTATGTGCGACATGTAGTTGAATTTATGTAATAGTTTGAGCTTGAAATAGATTTGAAAGGTACTTTACTTGATTTAAGCCATTAATGCTACTAAGCTGACCTTTAAAGCCTATAAAAATGGGTATAATTCGTATTTTGAGCAATCATATATTCATAAGCTACTGCTTACCTATTGCCAAATGCAACTATACCTTACCATATTTTATGCGGAAATTTTCCGATTTTATTGCAATTTTTATCTTCGATACAAAAAGTATACACACATTAATAGCGGTAGTAGATTACTTTGCTAGACGAACTATGGAGCTGTTACTCTTTTCGATTGTAAGAAAGACTGTTTTAAGTAAAGCAATCTATCTTTTCTTCATAAGGTCGATATTCGATAATGGATAATAAGATTTTGTCCAGATTAGTAAGTGTGGTTTATTTCATGTTAGAATCATCTTATAAAGTTCGAGCAGAACTTTCGGTAATCAGATAGTAACCAATATCTCCATGAATTCTTTTATGTGAGATTGATATGATAATCTAATAGCTAGAGACCAGCTCACATCTTATTAATTCATTATCCATGTATCATCAAAAATGATACTGAAACTTCAGCTGAGAATGCAACACTTCATTCAGAACCCGAAAGCTTAATGACTCTGTCGCCACCATTATAATTTTCTTAATAGTAACTACTAGCTTATGTTATTGGGACTAATAATATGCCATCAGTATATGGAATATCGTTATATTAACTACTAAAAACTAGGTAAGATGAAAACATCGAAGAAAGTCAGTAAACTGTTCAAGACTTATCATGAAATTTAGTTTCGATTTACTTATTATCTTTACTGGATGCAAACTGGATATCGAGAATATTCTGTGATGCTGCACAAATTTTTTCGTCCTTATGATTGATTAGAGCCTTTATTTTGGTAATTCCTAAGCGATATAAATCAGTAGAGGTATAGTCATTCCAATTTATTTGATTATCATAACTGTCGACAGACTATGGGATATTAAATGCTTCAACTGTAAGCTAAATTATTAACGCTGCGTTTAAGTCTACATAATAAGATACCTCCTATTTCTTCAAGATAGCTTAGAAATTCATCAGATATCTTATCAATTTCTACCGATTTGCTACCAGTGGTAACCATTTTACTTAAGGCTTGCACCGAGGCTCGTACAACTTCAGTATTTGATATGGTAAGTACATCACATAGAAGTTTAAGGACTTTATGATCGACGAAATTTCTAATATAACAAAGGGAAATCAACGAATTAACCGCGTATCAAGTCTTATTAATTTAGCTCTCCCAATAAACGCACACAAAATCTTAATCTGTCGATGTTCTTACTTAATTTGTTTAGTGCTTGCTTCGATTAAATTAGCATAAACCAATACGATTTCATTTTGGGTTTTAGCATCGACCGTATCCCGTATCATGAGAAGTTTAGGAGAAATATTAGCATCAAGTACTGCCTAGTTTGATAAAAGTAGCAATAATTTTAAATTTCAATCATCTTATGTAAAGTAATTAACAGTCCGATAGTTGTTCCGATGCAACATATTTTTAAGTTTATTTTTGACTTATACCGCAGTAGAATATAATAATTGATGGAAATATCGTAGGCAAATATTGATTATGTTATAGACTGACACATTATAAGAATGATAGAATGAGTTGAATTAGACACAGTACTTAATTTATTGATAATGGTTTATTTTAAAATATTAAGAAGATAAAATATTTAATTTAAATTATATTACTGAAAATACTCTGTTTGAGCTTCAATCTCAGCCTATCCAATTACCTGAGCTTGGCTGTTATTGCCAGCTGCAAAATTCGATAATATTCGACATGTTTGCATTTTAATAACGTCATCTGATGAATCCAGTAGATGTAAAAGGCTTGGCAAGACCTGGGCATCAATCAGTGTCTATAAAGACACAAAACTATAATTTATAACTTGTGATGGAATACCATCTAACTTATTATGTTGATAGCAGGGATAGGATTTTAAAATGCTTTACCTGGATCTGCGATTCAGTGCCAATAGATATATTGTTCACTACCTTCAAGGAAGTAGATTGAACTATTTCATCTTCATGTCTATATTTTCAGGATAGATCAAGCTTTTAGAATTACTGATGTCTGCTAAAAATTCTCTCTGACCTGTGTGAACTGTTTTGCTACTCTTACCGCAATAATTTTATTAAAGGTTCGCATGCTCCAGCGTTAACAACAGCTCCTATTTGATAATGGACAGGCATATAAATCTCGATACCATCTGCTAGATTGGATAAAGCCGTGCAAGTGTCAATTAAAACTTCATTATCTTCATGAGACAACAGTTTCACTAGGATTGGCAGTGAAGTAAAAGCCTACGTATGAAATAAAGCATATTGTATTCATTTAATTTATCCAATATGCAGCAACTGGTGAGACGTTATAATTACATATTTTAGTGCCAATCTGATGCTTTCTATATTCATCGTAATCACCTACCTCATCCATGTCCGGCATACGATGAAAGCTTAGGCAAAGATTTGAAAGCGCCCATATTGCATTACGTAATAAGGGTAAACTTGGATTGTTTTTAATTAATCTAAATGTTTGTAAACTATCTTTTAGAGTACGATGAAGAATTAAGCTAAAATTCTTTATTTCTACTTCTGTAAGTGCTATCGAAAGGTTTATGCCGAAAACGATCACTCTATCTCGGTATAAAATTTACTTTAGCAAAGGTTCCATAATCTCGAGCTCTATTAGGTAATCACGACATTGGGTACTTTCACTAGCCATATTTCCTAAAGCCCAAACTGACTACGATGCATAGAGGTACAGATGACAAAATGCCGTGATATTTATCTATCATAGCGACAATTATTCTGATTGGAATACTATCAAAATACCTGCTCTTGAATATCAGTATTGCTGCTAGAAAGCAATTCGATTAAAAAAGGTGCAGAACCAGCTTGCAAAACAGTAGCAGTTTGGATAGATGACCCAGAGGAAATAATTGCGATAATTGACGTGGCTTCCAGCTGAGCTTGTTGGCCATCATCGTTCAATAGATCGATAAGTCTTTCTATGATGTCTAAATCCAGGATATCTTGAACATATGGATCTGCAAATGAATTTAATATCAGTATACTATTTAATGTCGGATCTTATATACTTTCTTTACCACTTCAATGATATGGTAATGTCACAAAAGTAATCTTCGTGATATGTACTTTATTTCTATGTTACGTTCTATATTTGTTTATATCTGGGAAATGCTTATGGTCTCCTTAATTGTAACTTTAATGGATAACAGTTGATGTCTTATTAAATAATTCTTAATTTAGGATTAGATAGGCTAAGATAGTAATTGCCAACTAGCTTAACTGCATTATATCTATCACCTCCAAGGATCTTAAAGTTGAAAGTATAATTTCTAAGTTTAGAGAAAATATCATAGGAGAATAGCCTAATATGTGTTTATTAAACTATTATTAAGAATTGATTAATTTAATACTGATACAGTAAATTTGACAAAAAAAGACTGTGTTTAATCTGTATAGATACAGGCTCTTTAGAGTATTAATTTGGTTAATTTCTAATAGACGAGGTGACTTGTGTAGTTAATCTGGCTTTAGGTACCGAAACCTACGTAAACAGAGGCTTCGCCCATAATAAATTAGATTGTGATTTTCTAGATAGTTTGAAGGTCTCACGGTGCTAAACATTATCTGTCTGGGAATACTAACTGACTGGTAATCCAAAGAACAGTAGGGTAGAATAGAAAATACTCTCTCGACCCTTGTTGCAAGTTAGGGCTATTCCTAGCTCATAACTGGTGATGATTAGCCGTAAGAATTATTGGCGACTTTAAGGAGTTGACTTTAACAATATTGATTGGGAAGTAAATTGATTACTAACCATTCACAAATTTTATAAATTTACAAAAATTCACTCTGATTTTATGTTTTATGATATTTATAGAAATGTGTATAAGTACTGTTTCGCTGCCAGGATTGAAGAATTACAAATAGTAGACGTAGTAAATGCACGAAATATGAACTTTATAATATATTTGTCGCATTCTTGAAGTAAGGTTGTATACGCGGTGATTAGGGATTGCAATAATAGTTCGTCAGGTTTTGTAAATCAGCGCGAAAATACTAATTTGCTGTTTGACGTACTTAGGTAAATGCTATATCTTGTATACCTGCGTATAGTAGTTTTCGTAAACGTCGAGTAGCATCTAGAACAGTATCTGAATCATTTTTTTGAATACTATTCATGATAGATTTCAGCTCCTTTTCGCTCTAGAGTTACGTATAATTTAATTTTTAATAAAGGTATATTAATATTGAGATATTTTGTAAGCACTGAGTACCGTAGGAAAAGTTTAAAGTAACGGAGAAGAATCTTGTGTATTTACCTGAGTAGAAATTCTTGATGGCCTCTCGGATATAAATCCCACGCCGTCAACTACTGAAAATGTTTCATCTTGCAGTCTATTTAGCTACGGCATTTATAAATTATAATATCAGAATACTATTACATTGCTTATTGATCTAATGATTTCCGAAGCTGTTTTATAATATTGGCTTAGATTAATGTTTTATAGATAACGTTATCCTTGTAAAGACTACACTATTGAAGTTATTTGATACAATGCATGTGTCGGTGCTAAACCATAAATTTAATTTGCAGATAGGCCTGAATTCTGTTTCAACAGCTTACTAGCTTATTTCGTTTCCGTGTTCTTATTTCTAATCCTTTTCCTTGTATTGATCTCATTATCTGCCGATCGAAATCTATTTATAGTTTATAAGTACAAGATAATATTATTTAGAAGCACTAATTACGAATTTAACAAGCTGAAATAAAATTCCATCTTTGAGGTTTGAATGCACGCGTATAAGGTTTACAGAGCATATTGTAGGTGTTATACGTATAACATATAAATATATATAAATAAATAAATATAGCATTTAAGCTTGATCTGCATTTGCAGATATAGGATAGGCATTAAAGTAGATTTGGTAAAGTAGTAAGAAATAGCAGGTAACTTGTATTGCAATTTCTGTAATTTAATTTATCTTATACTTAGTATTGCAAGATGGATATTTCATCTTATTACTAAAATGCGATCCATATTGCTTAAAATCAATTTAATTGCGATCTGCTATTACACGATGATGTTTATTTAATACATGGCAAATCTTGTTCTTCCGGATATAAAACAAATATCAAGCTCTGTTGTTTATGTACTTTAGTATAATAGTTAGTGTGATTAATTAAGAAAACAGGAAAATACTAAGCCTTGGCATATGATTATTATCATGATTATTGTTTTACCTAAATGGTCTGACATATCTCCTCGATCAATGTTGATCAGTGCTTCGATAAGTCGATCAAATGTTGCATTTTCTGAATTATTTTGATACCAACGCTTCAAAACTGCCCTCGCTCTTTGATAATTCTGATCGTAGCTTTCGTAAATTTCATTGATATTGATAGTATTATCTAACTCTGCAGCAATATCTTGCCAAAATGAGCCAAGCTGATTGCAAATATCTACAAAGTAGCTTCGAGGATCTACAATCCAATTATTCGAATGTAATAAATCGATCTCGCATAACTTTTGCTGATTGTATTAATAAATTATAAGTTTAAAGCATGATGATAAGCTGTAAATACATGTTTATTCACCGCGATGTGGCTGATATTTAAATTATTCTGTAAATCTTTATTACTTCACAAATAAAATCTAAAGCAAATAGTGATAGCAACTAAAGTTCATAAATTACAGAATCCTGCCTACTAGTGTTATGCTCCTGCAATAGTGGCCCTAAGTTATTTAGAGCCAAAAATAAGACCCCATATTTAGAACATTATTTAGTTGTGGTTAGTGAGATTAGGTCGGCGATTTCGCTGATAAATAGAATTATAATGTGGTCACTCCGTGTTTTATTGTGGAATTATTCAATGTCGCTATAATTTTGAAATCTTTTCTGTTGTTGTGATAACGATTGATGCTAATAGTAGGTAGGTCTTATTAAGTGTGGATTGGATACTTTAAACAAAAGTATTGTAAATTGTCGTTATTGAAAGATTCTGATCATATCAAAGTTAAACTAAAATTTTCAAGACCCTGCTTTAAATTTTCTTACCTTCTGGACCGTATCCAATATCACTGGCCTCATAAATCTTTTCTTCATTCCTAGTCTCTTTATTAGTAGTATGATTATGAATATGTTCGTATGAAAAAATAAACTTAACTTTCCATCAGTATAACTTATCTACTTACCAGCTGTACTTTCTTTTATCATATTTAAGGCATTATATTTTTCATCTAGTATTTCTTAAGTCATGACATTATTGTAAATATCAGTTGATTATGAACGTGTTTTTTAAAACTTGAAGTCTAATTCTTACCATTACGATCGTATTCTTCTTCAGTCGGATTATATTCTGTTCCTTCATTCATATTTTCTTTATTGTCCGCAATTATCTTGTAGCTACTAACTCGTAGGTAATTTTGATTAAATCCCGAATGTAAAATCACCTTAAAATAAATATAAGAAACCAAATTGGCCCTAAAAAAACAATTATCAAGTGTTATTCAAGGATTTTAAAGGGTTACCTGTGGTTATAGTTCTCATTCGAAATAGCAGCTTTATATTTACTGATGGAATTTTTAAAAGATCTTTAATCAAAGTTGCATAGATATTAGATTGTTTTATGCCATTTAAATCGTTCTAATTGCTATTTACTTTGCTAAACTGTAAAATTAACTGGTAGATTTTTATTAGACCTAGGCTGTCATGCTTTAAACTTAGGAGACTTGTAGCTCTAAATTACTGTGGCCTGTTGACGATAGATTATAAAGTATGCTGTTTTCAATCGTAATTTAGGCAAAATACTGTGGAAGATGAATCTGACAGTGTGCTTTAAGTTGCTTTTCTAAATCAGATTTTAGCTCATTAAATATAGTTAGATTAAGATATTGCGATTTGCTTCTTTTCAAAGTGATTGATTTTTATAAGCACCGAATTAACTTTAGTATGATTCAACTATTTCCGATACAAAAATATTGAAAACCAAGCCTAATTTATAACGGATTCAATGATTAAGTTACTGTAATGCATAATTAGCTATATTTATGGACAAGTGCAGGACCCGAATACATGTTTGTAGCACTTAGTTGAATTTGTTGATTAGTTATATTTATCATTGATCAATTATAAATTGTTGTTTTTATTCTGCCTTGTTTCCATTGCTCTTTCTAGATAAATCATAACTTGCTTGTATCGTATATTAATCTTATTCCGCAGAACCTGCTTCATTAGTCTTCTAGCAGTCAGGGGTAAAGTCGGATTTAAAGATGCAAGAAATATTTCCATTTAAATTTGCGTTATATATTTAAATAATTCCAGCCGAAACATTAGTTAAAATTTTCTTACTTGCTTGCTATGATCTAACAAGTACAACTTCTAACCTCAATCTTTCTTTATCGCAGGAATTTGTGGAAAGATTTGCAGTAGTGATGATACACTATTCAAAGATAATAGTTTTGTCCCAGTCTCCAACCTAACCGCATGGACTACCCAACCAGAAGGAGAGATTTTGTTAAGAACTATCGATATTGTTAATGCTTAAAAATTACCAGAACATAATTAAGGTGAAACGATATTTAGCTTTGCTTAGTAGCTGATTACTAGCTGAAAATGATCTAGCGATGTTTTTAATGTTTGGGTACGTAACAAATATGGAATACTTTGCCAAAAACCACTTTTGCAAACTTGTAGTTAAATGATATTTAGCATTGCAATACGAATTAATTACTAGCTGAAACTAATCTGGCAATATATTCTAAATGCTTGAGCAGACTAACCACCGTAGAATACTTTTGCCAAAATGCTTGGGCACGCTAACTAACATGAAATATTTTTCTAAGATACTGCCACCATTAATCTTAAGAACTGGCCATTCTATTTCAGCGATGAAGGTAGATAATTATAATTTATTAATATATGCTTTCCGTGCCATGCCCAAAATTTCTTAATTTGCAAACTAGGCGTGAACTATTTACTAGGACTCCAATGGAATGCTCTTTTACGATGCTTAAATAATGCTGCGGTTGGTCATGTCAATCATCTCTTCAATAAAAGAGCTCAAAGTATAAATCTGCATATTATAAATGGTGCATAGTAGATATAGACAATCTTGGCAGGAAGCCTGTGTCTAGTAGAAAAATATCAAATGTTATGATTTGATTGATTATACATGCAATAAATCGCTTAATGATTTTGTAAAATTTCGATAATGACAACTTGATAAATTTCTTGCAGATTGGCTCCCTTATTTTAATTAGGTGATGCAATGAATTATTAAATATTTACCGAGCTAATGAAGTAAAAAGAAACTTTAATCTTAAAATTGCAGTAGTTTTAATTAATTTCTTTGGAAATCTTGCTCCAGCATAGTGGATTGAAGTTTAATATCAATTTAAAGCACAGCTATTGCATTCATTTATTTATTTTCGTCTTTAAACTCAAAGATGATTTACTAGCGAGGTAAGAATTTGATATAATACGAGTATAGTTTTCATTTCAAAAAATTTTTATCTATTACAATAGAACGAGTAAAAAAAAGTTAGCAAGTACGTTATGTTAATTTTGAATTTCTTGCTTAAAGTTGGGCTTTAGCATGGTGCAGATTACAGAACTTCGTTGTGAATATTAATGAGCTCATAGAATTAATAAGTGTGCTTAAGTTACTAGAAGATCTACTTATTGCATGAGTTTTTGCCTGTGATGAATAATATCTTAAAGTAGAGAAATTTTAATATTATGACAGTAATCAAAGTCGAAAAAAATTTATTTTTAGTATCTCCGAAGCTATATTTTTCTAATTGCATAATTACGAGTATTTAGATTTGATGATCATTGTCGCAATGGAAATATTAATATCGGTGATAACACTAGCGGTTATATTACATATTTTATTGTTTATCAGCTTTAGTGTATTTCATCACTTCAGAATGTGGTGATTTGGTCTCTAATGTTAACTTTCCATCAATTTTTCACTTATAGCAGAATACACAGTCAATAGTCTACCTGCAGTTTGCTTTAACGGTGGTAGATAAATCAAGGCTGCTTCTTTCTTACGAATTGATCATGGCCTGTAAGATCTTGCTCGCTTTAATCCGATACAATTTACTTTGTTTACTAAAGTTAACAAAACACTATCCTATCGTACGTATCTCTAGCAACATGTTCATTGTGACTTACAATAAACTATTCAAACTTCATGTCCTCTTAATCTGTAATATAGCTGTATTCATAGATTAGAAGAATATTTAGGTAGACTAAATTGTCATTGAAAATGAAAGAACAAATGAAATTAAAACATTTATCAAATCTAAGATCTGATTGATATGTAGTCAAAACTAATAAAATAATAAATTGATTACAGAAACTAATTAGAGCAATTTATTAACTAGATGACAATTATGTATCATCTTTTGCTTTTATAGGTATGACGATATGAATTTAATAAGCACCTTAGGTACATTAGATAGTCTCTAAGACAGTGCAATGGTTTTTCATCGCTTATTAAATTAAAAAATCTGTTTAAATCAAGCACTAATATCGACTGTCATTCAAATCTGATGAAAAATATCTCTCGCATATCGTTAAAGCTCTACCGACAATATCTTCATATCTTCATTTTCTTGAATATCTTCATTCTCTCGAATATGATTCAGGTTTACTATTCCTTGATGTAAAATAGTATTCATTACATCAAAGTACAAGTTAGATTTCACTTTATTTATTTTAGTTTTAATAAATACTGTTCCATGCGCTAACAAATATCTGATGATAAACTTATTAAAGCCTCTAAGTACTGTAAAATATTATAAGTAACGAAAGAAGTGTACCTCCGGCTAGTTCAAATAAACTTATAAACGGATTGGAGATTTGTTCTTCCTGACAAATTTTATTACCACAAATTAAAATATTTTGGATTCCATGCAAAGTCAGAGTTAGAAATTTCTTGTTGTGGATATTGACTTTTAAGGAATTTGATAAATATTGAATAAAGCCTTGATCCATCATATATGTGCCGTCAGCACATAATTTTGGCTACATTAAAAATTAACTTTCGAGACTGTTGTTTCACTTCGCGTCAATCCTGCTATATAGCGTCAGAGATTCAGTAAATTAATTTTTTGACCTTGCAAATGGGAAGTATTCGTCTTTTACCGATGTTATATTCTGAATCGCAAAAAGGATGCTTTCTTAAGTTTCTTTGCTGCAATTTCTGGCCAAATTTACCAATTTTTGCATAGTTTTAGGATTTATTATAGCCTATTAACCAAAATAGCTCAATTAAAGGAACTTTAGCGTATGCATATGAATTTCCATTAAATTAGTTGAGGGAAAACATTATTTGCGATTTCGTATACGACATAAATTTATTCTGCTGAAAATGCAATAGATCTTTTATTATAGTACTACCCAGACATGTTCATGCTTCGTACTAGCAGCTATATTGGAGAATATATAACAGAAGCGGTTTCTTTTGTCATCTTCGATAGTATCGAATAGATTTACCATAGTTTCGAATATCCCACGTTCGTATATAAAATATATTTTTATTAATTAATTCAATTCTAATTTAAGGTTTGTTATTGGAAGATTTATTAACATTATACGAGTGGGATATTTCACCCGATTTGTATCATCATTTTGCTCCGAAATTTAACAAAATAAGTCTAACAGGTGCGAGAATACTTCTCCCTTACCCTTACTCGGGCAATTCGCAAACACCATAGAAACATTAATACGGAATGCAATAGCTGTACTAGCTTTGAATTTTGTTATGTAATTTACCATATTAAATTGGTGAGAGGGGAATCTGCAATAACTTCGACAGTAAGTTCAGCCTGCTGATGGCTTCCTTGAATCATTAGTGATATTGCACGGATTGCATCTATTTTTGTTTCTTTATCCGATGCTGCTAGTAAATTGCGTATGGTCCTCAATACAGCACCAGGCTGGGGATAAAATTATAACGTAGATTTTTGATTATGATTACGTCGAAATATAGGGTAAAAGTTCAAGACTGGAATTAATTGTTTTACTAGTATTTCATATTTAGCAGTAAATAGAAAATTTGATTGCAAATTGTAATGTAAGGCGATTAATTCAGGGATTATATATTATTTTAATGATACTATCGCCCTAATTGAATAATAAGGTACAAAAATACTTCCTTCGTCTACATCCATCTATTTTCCATCACGCTAATTTGGTACAAGGGTATTAATTGTTAAAATGAATTATAGCTGACAGTAGGTTATTTTACACAGTTGATATGAATAATATCTGTTTTAACAGTAATCTAATATTTCGAATAGATGTTTACTAAGCAATAGACTATACAAATAGAAACCTTTAATACTGACATAGAAATATACAGTAATAGTATATTGGACTCTTTATTATGGTTAATATGATTAGATTTAGATAGAAATGGTTATAGGGTAAAAGTTGCAAACGGACTTTTAATGAATAAATACCAAATTAAAGAATTATAGCGAGGTTAAACTTACATATTTAAGAATGTGTTCCGTCTCCGCTATAGTAACAATTAATCTAGCTGTTTCACGTTTTATTCTAGGATTTTTGAAGTTTTTCGAATCCTGAAAACTAAATTTTAATAATATGAATAGATATCGCGATACTATAAATCAAACTTTTAAATTAAGCCAGGTGATATCACAGTTAAAAGGAATAAGCTCGGATCTATAACGAATTATGTTCTCGATAACGTATCATCACACTAGAATACTAAATACTTTTAAAGATATTTAATGTCCATAATCATCATTCACTCACTTCCAAAAATTCTTGCATAGAATTATCAAGTCCTTTGCGGGCCTCAGAACAAATTGATGATAAATTGTTTAACGCGCGAATTGCCTGAAATTTATAGCACAAATAGCGTATTATAGCAGGGCTAGGCTCCATTTTTAATTAAGTTACCGTCACACCGCTACTTGGAAATCGATATTGGCCGTGTACGTCAATTTTATTATAGTTGAAATAGCCCTGTTTTTAT